TACCTTCCTGAAAGGACCTGCCTCATTCAGTTTTTGCAGTTCCAGAGTGATCATCATTGTTGTAGGCGCCTATGCTTGAGTTCTCGTTTTTTCATGTTTTTCTACTTGAACTGAGGTATTGACCGCTGGTTCCTTTCGAAGCTTCATGGTTTGCACATGATCAAAGGCACGATGAAGTCCATGGACTTCAATCAGCTTCGCAACCAGCCAGAGCTGCTGAAGGAGGCCAAGTTGCGCGGATTCTCGGATCGTCAGATCGCTGCCTTGGTGTCAGAGCCTGAAAAGATGGAGTACGTCGCTTCGCCGGCACTTCTTCCGGTTGACTACGGCTCCTTGCGCTACACAGGAGGTCCTGTGAGTGAAGCACACATTCGTCACCTGCGCAAGAAGCTTGGCATCGTACCGGTGGTGAAGCAGATTGACACGTTGGCGGCTGAGTACCCAGCAGAGACAAACTATTTGTACCTCACCTACTCTGGTGAAGAGCATGATGTCGACCTGGCGGGCAGTGAGAAGCAATGCTCAGATGTCAAAGTCACCGACTTGACACCTGCCATTCCGGAGCCTTTGACGTTGAAGTTCCAGGGCCCTGACTCCAAAGAAGAGGCCGAATCGCGCATCATCGTTCTGGGCTGCGGCCCTTACAGGATTGGAAGCAGCGTGGAGTTTGACTGGTGCAGTGTGTCCTGCGTCCGTACTCTCAGGTCTTTGGGACACAAGGCAATCGTCATCAACTGCAATCCCGCCCCTAGGCCCTAAGCTTCATCAAGGATCTATTCAGATTTGTTTACTAGATTATATATATATATACACACACACATATCTTCATATGTTTTCCCTTTTAGCCAGTCTGCATGCGTGCATCTTTTTGGCTTGGGCTCAATGCGATTGAAGCCTTTCTGATCACTAATTTTTCAGTTGGGAAATTCAAATGGGTGCCACGCCTGTGCCATGGCTGTGCCATGTTTAGGAAACGGTGTCCACGGACTTCGACGAGTCGAACCGCTTGTTCTTTGAAGAACTGAGTCACGAGCGTGTCATGGACATCTCTGAGTTGGAGACGCCGCGTGGGGTGGTGGTGTCCGTTGGTGGCCAGACACCCAACAACTTGGCCTTGGGCTTGCACAGGTAGGCAAAACCATGGAAAAACATGGGAAAACTGAGGCAACACCACTCGACTATAATAGTTGACCCAATTTCACATCTGAAATCAGTAGGTTGGCAAGTCGGTTTTGGTGCGGTCAAGAAGAGCAAATCGTCAGAGATCATGTCTAATTGTCAAAAAATGTCAGATTACAAACAAGGCACCCCGCACTCCCTGCACCACTGCACAAAAAAAAGGTAACCTCAGGTGGTCAAAAACTGTTTGTGTTGTCTGATGTTGCCTGTTGCATCAGGTGTGGTATCCGCATTTTGGGTACTTCAGTCGAGGCAATTGATGCGTGTGAAGATAGGAACAAGTTTAGCCAGCTTTGCGATCGATTGCGCGTGGACCAGCCTGAATGGTCGGAGTTCGCTACATTGGAGGAAACTAAAACCTTCGCTTATGAAAGTTTAGGATGAGAGCTGAGTTTTTTGGTTTTTATTTGTGTTTCCTTTAGACAGAGACTGCTGAAGGATTTGATTCATGCCCGAAGGAACTGGTAAGAGTTTTGGCAGAAGGGTATGATTCGGTATGATATCATGATTGGTTGCTGAACTGAAACCAACGAATTGAACTATATAGGCTTTTGTAGCAAGCTGAGGAAGCGCGCCGATTCTGCACAGTCGCTGGCTATCCAGTTCTCGTCCGGCCATCGTATGTCTTGAGTGGTGCAGCTATGCGTGTGGTCACCAATGATGACGAGTGCTCGCCTCAAAGTGTGTAAGTGCAGTTTGTTGACCCAAGTTCAAAGAGTATGTTAGCAGGGTGAGGTCAAAAGCGTGAATTGAAGAGAAAGAACTAGAAAGAACTTTAAGTAAGAGATCGTAAGTCGTAAGAGTCCCTGTTTCAGAGGACAATAGACTGGGGCACACAGCTGTGACATGCCGTTCTGCACGGCTTCATGAAGTCATATGACATCAGATGACCTGAGGTTAGACATTTTCTTGAAGACCGCGGCAGTGGTGAGCCGAGATCACCCTGTAGTGATCTCGAAATACATCACCGGCGCCAAGGAGGTGGAAATGGATGCGATTGGCAACGAAGGCGAGTTGGTGAACTATGCCATTGCCGAGCACATCGAGAACGCTGGCGTACACAGCGGAGATGCCACTCTACTTCTGCCTGCCCAACGCCTCTTTGTGGAGACCCACCGACGAGTCAAGAGCATTTCGCAGAAGTTGTGCAAAGCGTTGAAGATCTCAGGAGGGAAGGGGGGAAAACGCAGTGCCAGACGCAAATGTGGAAGCTTCCGTTAAGTTCACTGGACCCTGTACTTTTTATTTTTATCCGATTCATTAGATCTTTGAGTCGGTTTAATTTGTGCTTCCTCCAACGAGTTGGCTATGATTTCTTGCCCGTCCCATCCGAGTGTCATGTGCCATGCGCTGGCAGGGCCATTCAACATCCAGTTCATTTGCAAGGACAACGAAGTCAAGGTCATTGAGTGCAATCTGAGAGCTTCGCGATCCATGCCCTTCATTTCCAAGACCTACAATGCTGCTTTCATGAATTTGTATGCGACCTGTTCTTTGTATTTCTTTGTCACATTGAATGACTGCAGTCAATTGCCGAGTAAATATGCTGATGGCCCCAGCAGGCTGCATAAAGCCCCAAAGTGTCCACCAGCATTCACCTCTCAAGGTGAACTTCATTGAACTGGCAACGCGCATCATGACTGGCTTTCCTGTCCATCCAGCCATCATCCAACCGATGGATATCGACTATGTTGCGTGCAAATGCCCTATGTTCTCCTTTGGAAGGCTGAAGAATTCGGATCCTCGCCTCGGGGTGGAAATGTCTTCAACTGGTGAAGTGGCTTGCTTCGGCGTGAATGTCCACGAGGCGTTCTTGAAGGGCACCTTGACCACAGTTGGCAACGCCCTTGAAAGTTGCAGTCGACATCAGTCGACTCTGTTCAATTGTCCAAACCAGCAGGTACTCCCATGAATGATTGGGCATCCCTTACTTCATCTTACTTCTCTTTTTCAAAGATCCAGTCTTTTTTTGGAAGGGTGGACTGCAGGTTGTTTGTTATATGTTGAACAATTGAATCTTCATTTTCCTTGCCTTGTTGAAACATGTTGAATCTGAGGCATGCTCGCTGCAAACTTCAAGCTTCCGAAGAAGCCTAGCTTCAGATTGCTGTTTTGCCCTCTGCATTGGGTTGTGAATCTTTTCCTTGGAGTGTAAATGTGTCCGTGTGCCTGAGCAATATTGATGTAGGTGAGTGACACCTTGGTTGCTTCGCAAGAATTGCTGAAACCGTTAGAAGAAGCATATCTACGTGTATTATCGTGTATCTAGATTCCACGAAAGCCAAGGAAGAACATTGTAATCTCCCTGGGTCCCAACAGTGCCAAGCACGAGTTCGTGAGTACAGGCGCAGCCAAGCAGCTTGAGGACAGCCTGTCACCCTCCACACTAGTGCTTGAGAGTCTGTGCATCTCAACATCTCGCGTAAAGCCATGTACTTTCTGTTGAAAGTCAAGGAACGGTTGACTTGAAGTTGACTTGACAATACTTGACATATGCAATGCCATGAGGAGATGGGCTTCAGCCTGTTTGCAACCAAGAGCACTTCGGACTACCTGTCGAAGCATGGAGTGTCTTGCAGCCTGGTCTATAAGCCTACGATCAAAAAAGTGTCTCGTCTGACATGTTTGAGCAAAATCACATTTGAGTCCCTCACTCGGAATGCGTTGCCAGATGCCTGTGCCACATGTCTGCGGCAAGTTTCTTTTGTCTTTCGATTTGTTTCATGTCGTTCGGCAAGAGTTGAAATGTGGTACAGGAGCCAAACGTGCTCACCCTCCTGCAAGCCGGCAAGATGGACATGATGATCAATGTGCCAGATTCCATGGACTCCAATGGAATGACCGATGGCTTCAAAATGCGTCGGGGTGCCATCGAAGCCGGTGTACCATTGATCACCGACATCAAAACGGCCATCTTCACATGTGCGGCCATCCACAGGAAGTGGTTGCGAGAGAGCAGCGGTAAATCTTTCTGGGATGTGTGCTCATGGCAGGAATATGTTGAGATCATCGAAAGGCTGAATTGAATCAGACTGTATAACATCCAGTGTCATTTAGTGACATCTTCCAAGTCTTCCTTCAACCATGGGGGTTACATGGAGAAGGTAAGTGCTTAGTCTTAGTGGCTTTTTCTTGCAGCCAGAATTTTACGGCTGGCTTGGCACAGCATCTGCACATTTGCTTGATGCACAGATTTTGGAGCAGTTACCGTCTGCTCAAAATTGGGAGTGCTGGACCTGCGTTCACTCTTCCGCTTACAAGATTTCTTGAATCTCTTCTTGATCGTCATCACACGTGCTGTAGCGAGCCTTCAGACCACTCAAGACTTTCTTGCTGCATCTGAGTTAGCGATACCAGTTTGTTATGATTCGTTTTGAGAACCTTCACTACTGCTGGGTGTGTTGACGTGGAACTGCTTCTGACTAATCCAGTCGAAGTACAGCCTAATGGCTAAACTCGAGCATGTGCGTGGGCTCATGCGAACTTTTCTTGTTGGGAAAAAAATCAGACTCCTGCCGCCCTGTGCGTGCAAGTACAAGAAAGGACACATAGGTTAAGAGACATCGAAATGGAAATGACGCAGCGATGCTATTTGATCGCTGGTTTTCCTTTTCATTTTCGATTGGAGAGGATTTGAACGGACACATCCATTTGTTAAAGTGTTGACATTGGAATCATCCTGCGACTGGCTTACAAGCAGTTCCGGGGCTAGAAGTCAGGCCAACGAGTGCCTAGTGCTGGTGACTTTCACGAATCAAAAACACAACATCTACACTTGCCACATTCAACTTGCAAGACACAGCTTGAACAATTGCAGAAAACTAGCAGCCCCTGGATTGCGAGCTGTTGGGAGCCATGGTTGAAGTTCCCCCGCAAGGTGGCAAGAATGGCATGGACAAATGTCTTGGCGAGCTCTTTTTTAGCAATTTTTCTGGTTCGATCCAGGTACGAGTTCTGTCCGAGATGGAAAACAGCAGGCCAAGGGCTCGAGCGATCCAGCTGATGCGGAGATGTTTATATGTTGATAAACATGACATGTTTGTTTGTGCTCCTTTCTTTGCCTAAATGACCTCATGTGAAAAAGAGGTGGTGCTTTTAATTATTTTAATTGGCTTTTTTTGATTGCCTCTTGCATTTGGACGTGTTTGCTTCAGTGCAGACCGGTCAGAATTGTTTTGAATGCTCTTTATACTTTGCAACCACCTGTGATATAAAATAACCCTCAAAGAATGCCAGAATGAGGCCAGAACGAGGTTAAGCAATGTTAAGCAACTCCCACATGGGAATTGCTTGAGTGATCTTGAGTGATTCAGGTTGCTCGCTTGGAAGTGTCCTGGATGTGCAGCGGAGATGTGGCCTGTGTGGTCAGGGTCTTGGACTCCTGGCATCCAATAGCTTCACTGCTAGCTTCGTGATGCTTCGTGCACGCAGTGCGTAGCTTTTTGCGTGTCATTTTGCAACGAGGTTGATGCTACTCCCAACATGACAATCGATGACTTGCGCTCACAGGCGAAGCCTGGAGACAAACCCGGCTAGGTCTATAAAGGACGTCAGCGAGGTGTATAACTTTATAGCTTTATTCAAGGGCTGCCGCCCTGCCGCCGACCCCGGAAAAATCTTTTGATCAACCCATTGAAACTGGGGAAATCCCCATTGCGCCATGCTGCTTCTGCCATGGACGGCGCCGCAGCCTTCACACTCAGCGGGCGCAGCCGACATTATAGAAAATTACCAGTAGTACCGCACAAGGCGGTGGCGGAAGTTTCAAAAATAGGAAACCTATAGGAGAGGTTGGTTGTTGTGAATCAGGGATGGCAGAGCGAATCCACTGATGGACCGAAAGGTGCTTCAGGTCTCCTCTCTTTCGCTCTCTTTCTCTGACTATCTACGTACCTACCTATCTATTTTCTATGTATTTGTCTATCTATCGATCTATCTCTCTCTCCCTCTCTTTCATCTGTCTATCTGTCTAGCTGTCTACCTGTCTATCTGTCTATCTATCTATCTATCTATCTGTCTATCTATCTATCTATCTATCTCTCTCTCTCGCTTTCATCTGTCTATGTTACTTTGGAGGTCCTAGGTTTTGGCTGCTTTTTCCTCTTGCTGCTGCTATGAATTTTGGCTACCTCTTCCTCCTGCTGCTGCAGAGGCTTTTGCTGCTGCTGCTGGTCCCCGGATGGGAAAACACCATGGCAGTGAAGGACGGAGAAACTCCAAAATTGCACCCCGAAGATGCCTAACGTAACTTCTGAAACGCAACTTCTGAAACCCATAGAAAATGTGATGATTTGGTTACTTTTGTCTGCCGGGGTCGGCGGAAAAAGTCTTATTCCCTGGCGCGCTCCCCCTTGCGCCTGCCGGGGTCGGCGGATAACATTCAAATCAGCCGTGCAGGTCTTGGAAAGGACTGCGGTGCCAGTTGAACAGCAGAAGCTGTTCTGGGAAGGACAGTGATGAACAGCAGCTGCCAGTTGATTTCACAATTGAGCATACTCGAGTTTACTCGAGTTTAGTCTTCCACTCTTTTCAGGGAGTGAGCTGTTCCACCAAGCTGACTTTATGCGTGTTGGCTCTGGTCCAAGACTCAAAGAGAAATCCTTTCGAATCTTCAGCATGTGCAATGAAGTCAACCCTACTTAGCTTCCTATGATGCCTTGATGAAACACATTTTCTTGCTCTTAGCATTCTTAGCAGCCCCAGCACGGCAGCCCATATCACACACTGTCCAAAATTGCAGTGCTCCGAAGATCTGGCAGTGATTTTGTGTTGTGTACAGTTGTGACAGTTGTGACAGTTGTGACAGTTGTGTACACCTCGACTTGTGACAGTTGTGTATACCTTTGACTCTTGCCCTCTTGCTCTTTGTGTCAAGGTGGTGCTAGCGGCCACCAGGTCATCCAGTGCTTCCAGCCTGTTTTGCGGTCCACCCTAGGTCCACTAGGTCACTAATGGTCACTAGGCCCGAACTGCTACTGTCCAACCGAAGTATGAGGCTTGTCCGCTGTCACAGCGACCCGCGGAATACGAATCGAGCATTTTTCAGGGAGAACCTCAACTTGCAAGATGGACCAGTCGTGACCTTACACTTCAACTGGCTTCTGCTTGTTGACCCCTTTAGATTTGTGGATGAATGATTAGTTTTCGCCCTTGGACACTAGATTATCGCTTCAATCAAGCACTTTGCCTCCGTGCTGCAGGTTGGAAGCTTCTGCCAAGTGAGAAAGCTGGGCAATGCAATCTTTGGCGAGGCTCCGATTGCCAAATGTTCCAAGATGTTCCAAGCACATGCGGAGCATGCGGAGCTTGGAGAACTCAGTTGATATGTGAAGCGGCGAAGCGTTCCGCGACAGGTTGGGATGTACAAGTGGACCAACGCCGATGGGCTCGATGAGGACGTTGCGGTGAAGTGCATCAATGTCCAGAAGGTGGGCAAATATGTTGAGCCATGAGATGCCATGAATCTGGCCGAAGTAGATGTAGAAGTGACATTGGAAAGGACAATTTGAGCAAGAGGTGGCTCAGAAATGGCTTGGTTGGCCAAGACGAATTGAGATATCGTTTGGAATCGGTTTATCTATATGTTTTCTTCCCCAGGGACTGCCTCAATTAAAATTGCAACTTGTCTTGACAAGTTCTTCTGAGGCACGCCAAACTCTTGAAAAGGACCCCTCTGTGCAGAAAGCATCAGCGACAGAACATGCTTTTGTGTGCACTGATGCAAATGGGAGTGCGCCTGCCGAAGATGCTGGTGTGAGAACTTGATATGTAGCCGAATGGATCCTACTTTCACTTGGAGGACACAAATGAGTGGACAGCGCATCAATCCCAGCACAATGTTCCGCAGCCTGAGGACACTGTGGATCAAAGTAAGAAGTTCCTGTGCAACATGTCCGCAGTGCGCTGTGTAAAAAAATGTTCAGGACGCATATGCAGAAATTGGCGTCCTGCAGTACTTGTTGGATCCTTAGAGAGCTAGAGATCTTAGAGAACCACAAAGCATCGTTTTACTCATGTCCAGGTCGAAGCAGCCAGATCTTCCAAACTACTTGCCAGACTCTCAACTCCAAAAACAAACCTGAAACCCAACGGAAAGTGCAAACTTTCTACAGTAACAGTAGGACTGAGTAGGATCTAGGAAGACTCAACCTTCTCTATCTTCTCTGCTAGTTTTGCTCTCTCCATCGGGTCCTTTGGGCGAGGTTGAAACTGTTGGGTGCCTTCGTTCAAGACTCCAATATGTGGCTTGGCAGCGTGATTCTGCAGGTTTTACAGTTCTTCGTTCAAAGGGTATGAACGGGTGAAAAGGGTTCAACAGGTTTGGGGAAAGCCACTAGAGGGTGCGGAAGAGGTATTTTTCTTTCCTATCTGCAGAAGGGACTTCAGGAAGAGGGTAAGGACATTCATGAGTATTCTGCTATCCAGCTGCAAGTGAAAGAGAGTCAGAACGGGACTTGCACCACACTTGTCACGGAATTTTTGTCCATGCAAAAAGCGCAGATGGCTGGTGATGGAACTAGCAGATGGTGGCGAGCTATTGGCCAGAAGCCCAAGCCTCCCATGCTCTGCCATGCTTGGGAGCTCATGGGGATATTTTCGATCTACCCCCCGCCCAGTAACAGCAGATAAATGATTTTCCTTTAACCTACCCTTTCAAAACGAGCACAAGGAAATTGCTCCAAAAATCTCGGCTAGGAGGTGCCCCAAAAAAAACGTCAACCTGCCCTCCAAACCTCTGATACAGAATTCAGAATTCAAGACAGGGGCTTCACTTTCAAGATCTTTCAAGCATATCAGTTGCATTCCAACATTGAGAAAAGAAGAGCGCAGACTACAGACAATACATTCATGTGTTACCCTGAGAAGGTGCGAGCAAGGCGTCTGCATCGAAGCAAGGACTAGAACATATTGTGAAAGGATTTGGCCGCTTGATGCAACTGGCACAATGCACCGTAATGTGCTCAACCATGGAGTCAGATTGGCCATGTGGGAAAATGGAAATGTTATATACTTGGCATCCATCCTAAACTTTAAATTCTAAACCCCGAGCCCATTCGAACCCTAAATCGCAAAACTTCATTGACGCGTAAGTACCAACCGCCAAAACCAGCACAAGCTAGACACAAAAAGAGCACAAAAAAACACAAAAAAAAACATTAAAAAATACAGAAAAAAGCACAAAAAACACCAAAAAAAGCACCAAAAAAAGCACCAAAAAAAGCACAACAAAAAGCACAAAAAAAGCACAAGGAGACTGCAAAAATAATTGCGAAAAAAATGAAAAAAAACTAGCCCGGGCAAGGAAAGGTCCAAAGGGACGACAAAACCAGCACCAGAGGGACCACAAGAAAAGCACAATTTGAGCACCAGCCGAGCACAATTTGAGCACCAGCCGAGCACAATTTGAGCACCAGCGGAGCACAATTTGAGTACCAGCCGAGCACAATTTGAGCACCAGCCGAGCACAATTTGAGCACCAGCCGAGCACAATTTGAGCACCAGCCGGGCACAATTTGAGCACCAGCCGAGCACAATTTGAGCACCAGCCAAGCACAATTTGAGCACCAGCCGAGCACAATTTTGAGCACCAGCCGAGCACAATTTGAGCACCAGCCGAGCACAATTCGAGCACCAGCTGAGCACAATTTGAGCACCAGCCGAGCACAATTTGAGCACCAGCCGGGCACAATTTGAGCACCAGCCGGGCACAATTTGCGCACCAGCCGAGCACAATTTGAGCACCAGCCGAGCACAATTTGAGCACCAGCCGAGCACAATTTGAGCACCAGCCGAGCACAATTTGAGCACCGTCACCTGGGCAAATCAGAAATGACCAAAAATCAATGCAAAGCAGCTAGGGCCCAACAAAAGCAACAATGCCATTCGAGCACCACCCGAGCACAATCGAGCACCAGCCGACACAATTTGAGCACCAGCCGAGCACAATTTGAGCACCATCCGGGCTCACTTTGAATCACACAGCAGCCCGGCACAATTTGAGCACATCCGAAGCACATGTTAGCCCAGCCGACACAATTTGAGCAACAACTCAAGCCACACAATTGGGAGCACCACCAGCCGAGCACATTTGAGCACCAGCCGATCACAAATGCCCCCGATCACCTATCCGGCACCATTTTTGAGCCACCAGCCGGGGAGCACATTGAGCACCAGCCGAGCACAATCGGCACCAGCCGCGCAACAATTCGAGCACCCAGCCTAGCACATTTGAAGCACCAAGCCGGGCACAATTTGGCCCAGCCGGCACAATTCGAGCACCAGCCGAGCACAATTCGAGCACCAGCCGAGCACAATTTGAGCACCAGCCGAGCACAATTTGAGCACCAGCCGAGCACAATTTGAGCACCAGCCGGGCACAATTTGAGCACCAGCCGAGCACAAAAAAACGAAAACAGTAAAACCAAAAAAGTCAACTGCGCCAGCCCCAGCCCCAGCCCCAGCCCCAGCGCCACGCCCAGCCCCAGCCCCAGCGCCCCCAGGCCCAACCCAACCACACCAGCCCCCAGCACCCCAGCCCAGCCAAGCCCAGCCCCAGGCCCAGCCCCAACCCCCCCCCCTTGCGTTTGGTGGTGGTGGTTGTTGTGGTGGTGGTGGTGCTGCTGCTGCTGCCGCTGCTGGTACTGCTGGTTGTAGTGGTCGTGGTGGTGCTCTCGCTGGTGGGGGGCGGTTGTTGTTATTGTTGCTAGTTGTCACATTGCTAAGCTGTCGTAGTTACTAAGAATTGCTAAGGTTTCCAACGGAATGTTGGTGATAAGTTGGCCAGTTCCTAGCAAATCTGTAGCAACCAGAGCCGAGAAGAGAGAAACATACACCTGTGCAGCTTGATTCCTTCCGATTCACATGAAACATTTTTTCAACCATTTGATGATTTACATATTCATGGTGTCTACCTGATCCATTGTTTGGTTTTGGTATAAGAATTTATCCGTATCATATCACCAGATTAGACCCTTATTTTCTGCATTTGGCTGGTGCTCATTTTGTGCCCCTGGCTTGTGCTCACTGTTACTGCCCCGGGGGTAGATCAAAGGGATATTGTTATAAGGGGAGCATGCCGACAATTTTCAGACTTTTACGAACAATTGAGAATTTCACATTGCCTGACAAGAAGCCACAAGAGCTTTAGACTGCCACTCAGTCATTTTCTGCTGGTTGGCTTGTACGAGGAATACTGAGAAGTTCTGAAATCCATAGAATAGAGGTATTGCTTTGACTTGACCGGCCTCTTTATTTTTTTTCACAATTTCAAAACCATGTCCTGGTACATCCTGGTCTTCAACTTGCAGGATGTTGTGTTGTCGCAGAAGTTGGCTGACACTTTTCAGACGAGGCCATAGCTTTTTCATGCTTTTTCTCTCCTTATCTCTTCACAAAGAGCATTCATTTTGGGATCACAGACAGTTTCATCTTCAGGCGATACCTCTGGCAGACCTTGCAAGCAGTCGGCCTCTCGTTTTTAACTGCCTGCTACGGTGCCAAGAGATCTATTCTGAGGTGAAGTACCTTCATGCTCACCACATAGGCCCAGCTGCTCCGTTCTCCAAGTTCAGTGCGCATATCATCGGCATTGGCATTGGCATTGGCATTCTATAGTCAGGTCACCGTGATATCTCCCTGGAAAACCTGCTGCTCAGAGGAGACGAGATCAGGCGCTAATTGAGACTCGGAATACATTGAATCTATATGAATCTATGGCAAAACAGTGGAAATCGAATGGAAATCTATGGCCCATCTATGGCCTGCCAAAATCATCACAATCAGTGGATCATCCAGGCTTGGGGATTTCGGCAATGCCGTTCCGAGTCTGGAGCTCAGTGGAACCGCTGTGAAGCACACTGCTGCACGAAACCGGATGGTTAAGCTCAAGCATGCTTTTAACCTCGAGAAGCCTACAAGATCGCAAGCAAAGACCACAGCTGCATTTTCTTCGCTGGAATTCACCTTGCACTCCTGACTAGTTACATGAGCAAATGGTTCAGAACCTGCTTGCACTACAAGTCGCAAGATATCAGAAACAGATTCGTTGCCTGACCCCAGATAGCAATGCTGGCAATGCTAGTGTTGTTACATAATGAAGAGACCAGACTTGTGCCACCATCTACTCACAGTGCCTCCCACGGATACGTGGCGTCGATGCTGGTGGGTTGTGAATGTTGTAAGGCCACTCCTCGACCGGACAAGAATTTCGGTACTTCTTGACGGTCAGTGATCTCAGCAATCTCCAGTTTCTGAGTCAGCGTAAGCTGCAAGCTTTGTCGAAAGGGTTGAATAGAGAGACCTTATACATGACTTGGTCAGAATGCGTGTTACAGTAAAGATTTTAAGAGAACACGAATTGATGCAGCGGATGTAGCTTTATGTCTTGAGAGGTGGGAAAAGACACGTACCGGGCGCCGGAGTGCATCGTTCCTCGACGCTCAAAAGCTATGGTGTCCCGCTCAGACCTGGCGTTCCAGGTGTTCTTCTGGCGCAGTTCCAGCGAGTTCCGAATCTTCTGAGGTGATTGTCCCGACCAATGCGGGTCCTGAAGACGTCATCATGCATCGAGAATCGGGTGGACTTGGTGGCCTTTACCAGGCCTATCGTTGATCTTTGTTGATCTTTGTTGATCTTTGTTGATCCTGTTTCTTCATCGAACAGATGCCATCTGAGTTTTGCCAGCTAAGAAACCTTTTCCCTGCAAGCGTGCCAGAAAACAGGCACTCCATCTGAAATGCCTTAAAACTTTGTTCTTTGTGGGACGCAACCCAGAATGTGTCCAATCATTTTCGACACATTTCGTAATCATTTCCTGGGAATACTTGGGAATACTTGGGAATGAAGCATCTCATGCCAGGTTCGTCTGCCCAAAGGCGCAATCCGTGGTCTTGACCTTAGGATTATGAATGGATTATGAGTTTCCACATGTTTCGACACGCCAAGAGCTCTGGAGCCAACTCCAAGGTCAGATGTGCCAAGCGGAAGTCTGGGGTTCCATCCTCGGAAATATGGCAGGCTCTAGTGACTCCAATGTGCCACCGGGCAAGAGTTGGATCCAATCTGCACCATCCTTGGACTGTTGTAATTTGGGGCTACTGATGGCTACGTTTACTTTGCAAGTTTATGGTTCAGTCAGCCAAGACAACTTTCTCACCTTTGCATAGGGAAATACTGTAATATTATGTACTGTAATATGTAATATTGCAATGTGATACTTTTGCAAAAAAGATCAGAATCATAACCTTCGGGTTCTGGAACATAGTTTGCCCACTGATAGTTTCTGGATAAAGTTTACAGATTGCTGCCGCACCCCAGGATACGCCGTACAGCCCGCGGACATATTTTCCTGCGGTTTGCTCCTCATTTCTTTGGTTCCTGCAGTTGTGTTCGGAATCTTGTGAGAGTCCTGGTTGGCTTGTTGAGGCGGCTTGTGATTTTGAGGTGTATGCTTTTTTTGTATGAGCCTCGACCCCAGCTGCAAGGAGGTCGTTTCAACCCAATTCTGCTTCTAACCAAGTTGGTCATTGAATCTCTGAATTCGCATAACTTGTCGCCTATGGAAAGCTCACTCGATATGGAGGCTATGGAAGTGGTCCGTGGATCAAAGCCGAGCTCACTGACGAACTCTTTTACCATGTCTATGCCAATGGAGATAATGGCATGAAGGACAGCAAGTATGGCCGTATGGCATAATGCCATGACTCAGCGTGAAATAAACCGATGCATTGAGACACAGGTGATACAGTGGATGCAGCAGGAGTGCAAATCATATTAGGAATAAGTGCAGTGTTTGCATTGAACTGTTGCCTTACCTTGTGCTACTAATGTTCCCCGGAAAATGTCAAAGAATGTGCCAGCGGAGTTTCATGATGGTTGTTGATGCTCATGTTTTTTTAGTTGTCAATCATGTTGTTGATTGATTTTTCAGGACCTTCTCAGACACTGGGGCAAGCCCTTTCTTGAAGCAGAGGCACCCGGCATCGGCATCCCCGGCGCCCATGGTTCCATGTTTGTGTCGAAAAATGGCCATCCAGGCCATGGAGCTCCTCTTGTCAATGATTCGCATTAACCCGTTGACCCGACCTTCAGTCTGGGCCTCGAATTTCAGTGGTCTTTAGCCAATTTTTATAGAATTTTTATGCATTTTGAAACAAAGAAGATGGGACAAAACGATGGAACTAACATGAAACACATTGAAACATATATAAAGATGATGGAAAAGAACAAGGCAAAGTCAGCATTCGACATCTTTTCACAGCTGGCAGTCAGAGGCTGTGAGCTGCCTGGAAAGCAACTGGTGGTCTCCTCAGTCGCTGATCCGTTTATCCGTTTCCTCGGGGGACTCTCAGGACTCCAAAATCCAAAGTTGTTGGTAAAACTCTTGGTAATCAATTGATACACTTCAATAATCTTCAATACACCAATGGTTTTGGATGGAAAAATGGGATGGTGGGTCCCCCATAGGCCGTCCAACTTTCGCAGGTTCAGAGATCAGAATGCAGCGAGGGATGATGAGATGCTTTAGTCAGCGCAGCGTTTGCGCTGCTGACTTGCTGTGAGTGCTGTGAGTCGGTGAGCCCTCCTGCGATGAGCGTGGGAAGCCGCGTTGATCGGGGAGGAGCACAGAGGGGTCGTAACAGCTATGTAAGACATGAAAAATATAGAAATACATATAATACATGTATCAAAACACCACAATTCGTTGTTTGATTCCTAGATACTGATGATATCTGATGATGTGGCTGCTTAATCGAGCTTTAGTGGGGGCTCGGACTGCACCTTCACTGTAGCAGTAAGAGTGCCATGGAGCTGGATCTGACTGTGAGAGTTGCGACTTGACATTTTTCGCAGCTTCTTTGAATGCAAGAAATGCATTGACATATATATATATATGCTATATATATATGATATATATATATTTAAATAATGGTTTGGTGTTCAAAGAAACCTGCAAGATTGTGGCGATCAGCGGTTTGGCACTTGGTAAAGCTGTAGGCTTATGTGTCTTATGTGCTTGATTCTGGGCTTGTGCAGTGGCCTGGTGGCACGACTCGTAATAGTGCTGTTGTGGCTGTCATATCACTGCTGCGAACAGCGAACTTCTCAGAACTTGTTGGCCTCAGAGCTTAACAAGACTGATGTCCATTGCCTTGCAGCTGCTTGTCCGCACGTATGGGATCCACATGGGTTGAGTTTCAATAACTCCCTGGGCTGTTGGGCTGTTTCATTGGGTACCATTTTAGAAGCAGAAGCCCCTAATTCATCCAAATTCATCGACCAGGGTTTACTAATCCGGGGTTGACATTATTCGTTCATCATTACTCTCCACCATGAGTCATGAAAGAGTCCAACGGTCGCCACTGCATCCAAGCCCTGTCCAAGGTCTTCTTTGCACGTTGTACAGACCATCGATGCCGGTAGCCGTGCAAGGTAGACAATTTTGGCATGGGCCCTCAGCTTTGGCAATGAGCAGGTGTATGGCTGTGGAAAGATTGACCTTCAAACTCATGAGCTATACAAGGTTGTACAGTTGTCCTGGAAGTGGGTGTGTGTCTGTAGAGTAGACATACTGAGAGGTGTACATAACTGTCCAGAAAGAATACGTATATATATATATACATACACCACCACACACACACACAGTATTACGAACATGTAGTTATATTTGTGTATGCATATGCATATATGCTAATATGTAGAAAAGAAGCTGCTATGCATATGTAGAAAAGAAGCTGCCTTTCCATTTGAAGGATTATTTGAATACGCAACAGTGATTTCGCAAGACGAAGATTCCATTGGCATACAACCTGAGCCAACGCTCTGGGGCTACTTGACTCTGTGGAGGCCGACCCAAAAGTGGGCAAGTAGGATGCATGGCAGCGCTGATGGCCTTGCCTTTGGACATTGTTGAAACGTTGTTGCAAACTATTGAAAATGCTCACGGGGAGTCGACAGATTTTGTTGCTTCGCTTCCTCAGCGCTTGCATATCACTTCCGAGGGAAGTTGCGTCCTGTAGTTCAACATGAGCACCAATAAAGGGTCATTCGGTCATTTTCCCGATCTGACCGCACGTCCTGATCTGACTGCAGTCACTGTCATGGAATGTTGCGATGATATATACATATATGATATAATATACATATATAATATACATATAATATATATAATGTAACATATATAATTATATATATGCATATATATATATATATCCATATATATATATATATCTATAATATAGCTTTTTGATTTGGAATTTGGATTGGCACGACCCACAGGTTTTAAATGATTCCGCAAGTTTTGCTGTCACCCGCGAGAACAAACTATCGGTCCTAGTAGCAAATAGTTTAGAAGATGGTCTGGACCATGTTCTAGCTGGGGTGGAAGACCGATTCATACAGGTTCTGAACCTCTGGTGTCATTCCTGTGACGGGAGGCCTGTGTTGGTGGCTCATGTTAAGTTCTGCAGGAAACAAAAATTGCACATTTAAATGGCAGACACTGTTGCCATGGCTGAGGCTTCGTGGTACAAAACACAAGTTCGCCTTGTCCCTGATGGAAATGAATCCAGCAAATTGAAATCATGGAACTTGCTCAACTCAGCCGAATGTCCATCACCGGCTTTTGGGTCTCAAGCAAGTGTCGAACGCAGCTTGGGAGGGACTCACAAAGGCATGACATGCCAACAATTTGCATAGCATCAAGGTCCTTTCAACTCCCAAACATTTTTCAGGTTGGCAACCTGGTACCGTTTTTGTGTGGATTTGCACACACGCTTGGAGTCCATAGAATGGGGAACGCCGTGTCCCTGCGTGACAAGCCTGCGAAGCCAGGGCAACGGGTCATTGAAATCCCAACATTGAAATTTACGGTGAAGCCCCAGTGCCAGGCTTTGCAAAGTGGTCCATGTACTCTTTTGGATTTGCAATGTGTTTCGCAATTTGGCATCAAAATAGTCCGTATCTCGGAAACAGAAAGGGGAAGAACCATTAGCTCCAAAGACTATCCCGATGCACGAGCTTCACTCAAAGCCGGTTCCCTGCTTGCATGTTGCACGAGTGTTCGAGTCGACAGTGGGTTTTTGAATCAGATATATTCAGATCATGGCTGTCACAATGTGCCTAGGTTATGAGGTTTGGGTGCTTCCTCATCTAGCAGAAAACGTCATAATTGAGGATGTGAACACAGTAGCTTTGCGACTCTTGCAATCTTTCGTGGCTTGGCTTTAGTCTGTTTGGCATCTGTCATGGCTTTGCAGAGGAAGATCTAGACAGAAGTCGGCAATTCACTTCGAGGCAACTCACAAAAAAAAGAAACCTCCTGGCAAAGGGAATAATCAGTGGAGGCGTGATGCTCTTACTGGTATCTGTGAATCTCTGCAACCTGATGCCAAGGATCTCATTTACACGGTCGAAGATGATTCTGTCCACGTCCGGGAAGGAACTAGGCTGTCCAAGTTCATGAGGCACTTTAACCTCTGTAACGAGGACTTGAAGGTCGACTATTTACCTGGATGTACAGTCACGTACATACGCCCCACGGCAGCTTCAATCTGCACGCGTCCTTTTGCTGAGCATGTTTTGCTTCATTTGGCAAAGGCATATTGGATGAGCAATTCTCAGACAGCATTTGCGTGCTTGCTACGGCGGCAAGGAATTGTTCAGGAAGACAGACTTGTGCTTCAGGTGCTTAACATGCGGAACAACTTTGCCATTAGCCCAATAGCCGTAGTGCATGGTGGTTGTGGACCCCGAGGTCTATGGGAAGTCCCTGAAAAGACGTCTACCATTCTTTGCCCTGGAGATCGCTTAATCTTCCTCCCACCGGCCCCGCTGGAAGAGAATCGCTTCAACGAACGCATAGCCAGCCTCAATGATGAGACTAGATCGTTGACCCTTCGTTGCGCAGAGCGGTCACTAGATAATGCCAATCTATTTCCAGGATCAGCAGTAAAGCATGGCGAGCCTGAAGTCTTTCCGCCTAGTGCAAAGCCGAAGGCACAAGCCAAACGAAAGCGCCCAACCCGGCGCGGACGTGGAGGGTCAAAGAGGCAGGGGCGTGGAGGCTCCGGGGGGTCAGATGGTGTTGATGCAGATGCTGCAGCTGCAGATGCTGCCGACAGTGGCGACCATGGGGACGATGATCAGCAGAGTCAGGCAAGCAATGTGACCTGGCATAATCAAGACAATTGGTCAAACCTTCACCCTTCGTTGGGGATGCAAGGCAGCAATGGCAGCTTCTAGTTTTGCACTTGCTTGGAATTAACCTGCTTGCTCCTTGGCATGTTTCTGCTTGTTGTATTTGATTCTTTCGTTGTTATACCCGCTCATTTGTCCCCCTTTCTTTCGCAGCACCTTCAGCGGAGCACCTGGTAGTTGAGTGCGCTTTGACCGCACCATTTGCTGCAAGAGTGACTGCAAGGGAGACTGTGCCTAGCTTATTGTATAGTCAGCGGAGCACCTGCGGTATGAGTGCGGAAGCGCACCACTTGCTGCAAGAGTGCTGATCTTTTCGCTGTGACCAGGTGACCAGGTGTAGATCTGGTGGGACCGTTTGAGCGTGCTTGAAAACCGCATGCATGGAAGATCGCCATGAATTGCTACATCCCATTACTCCTAAATTCTCATAGCATCTCCCAAAGAGCTGCTTGAGCTGTGGTCTTCCCTTCGCAGCCAAGTTCATGGACCGTATGTGCTCAGGATGTCATGGCTATCTGAATTGAAGAAACTCAAGTGCACTTGCAGAGCAAGCACGCTGCTTGTGCTATGTAAGTCATGCTCTTTGTTGACCAATTGAAGATAGACTCCAGCGAAAGTGCACATACAATGCATGACTGACAAGCTATATATTATATATACACAACACACACACACATGCGAACAAGAATAAATTGATATAGAAGTATATGGACCTGCCATAATTTTCTACATTGAAATGTATTTTTGCACATACAGGAAAATATGATGGCGATCATACTCGGACTGATGTTCCACATAAGTTATGTAGAGGTGTGTACAGGGAATTCTGGACAAGTATATGTTTACATGTATGTATATAGGTAGATACACACACAGAGAGTCCCAGCAACAATGGGTCATGGCAGAACCAGTGCTCTTGAGCACTGCGGCGCAGCAAGAACCCCGCCCGCAAGACAGGGGTTTGGTAGGTTTTGGATGTTTTTGGACTTATCGATCTTTTGCTGGAACATGCTGGAACATTAACATTCTGTCAGGCAGCCAGAGCCTGTTACCAAGAGCTCCATGAGTCTGTCAATGAACCCGCAGATTTTCAGGCAGGAATTGTGTCGTCGTGGTAATGAGACCGAATGAGACCTTGGTTTTTCATCCATTTTGAAGTCTCTTTGGCCGCAAAGAGTGGCTAAAAGAAGCAGTCGATTCTGTCCGTTTCTTCGCAGGCTGCTCTGCAACGTGCCAAAGGAAGGTTTTTGCGCCTCAGCGTTTTGTATCTTGGCGACATTTTCATGTCCAGGAGATTCTTTCCAGAGCAAGTCCCACAATGAAGGCTACAACAGTGGTATCAAGAATTGGGGTAATTGGGGTACCTGTAAAATGGACCATCACCCCAGGATTTCCATAATATTCATTTCGATAGGGAAAATCCAAGATTATTGTCCATTGGAATGGGTGTGTCCAAGGCTTAGCAGCTGCGATGATGAGGGTATTGCGTGTCTACAGCCATCAGCTGCTGTGGATGGAGTCATGTCGGTCCTGGAGCGAGACAAAGGCCTTCGAATCGGAGCAATCGCCCAAGTGGCTCTCGGAGTTGTTCTTTAATTTCTTGGATGAGAGCCGCCATGTTGTTTTTTTGAAGGTCTTAACATGTCTTAACATTAATGCCGCTATTCTGTAGATTCAGTGTAGATCTTATCTGGAGCAAAACGTTGCAGGTCACGCGCAAGTCGAGCAAGGCACCCAACAGCTGGCGCAGAAGCGCATGGAATTTGTCCAGGAGTTGGCAACCAGACAAGCACCCGTCGCGTTGGCAGCAGGACTGAAGATCACAAGCATAGCAATTGACATAGCAATTGCATCTGAATGACCTGCTTATACTATCTTATACTGAATGATACTGATGGTTGATATTTGTTGATGTTACACCTGGGTGCTTTTTGTTTCAGTGGTACCCCGGAGGATTGCTGCAGGGATTTCGCTTGGATGGTTTACTTGGAGTGCCTGCAATGGTCAGCGACCTTCTTGCTGGTAGAGGCCAGGCGCAAAGAGCAAGATCTTAGCACATTTCTCATGATTTCTCATGTCTTGGTGGGTCATTTCCACTTTCACACCTCATTTTTCCATCATGTTGCCAGAACAGGTCGAACAGGTCGAACAGGTGTCAAATTGGTACCCAAAGATATGCAGCACAGAGCGTATCATCTGCCTCCTGAGATTATTGGCGCCTCAGTCCTGCCCAGCGCGTAGCAGCGCAGCGTCGCTTGTGCTTGGGTGCCCGTGCCAGCTTGGCGCGCAGTAGTGTGGCCGAGGCCCACAGCATTGAAGATCAAGACACCTACCAAAACCTGCTGCAGCTGCAGAAATTGGAAGCAATTTTGATATATTTAGGAAAAGTCTCAAAGTATCTCAAAGTCAGGTCGTCAGGTTCCTTTTTTGGAGGGTAAACCAGCTGCCGTTTCAGCCACTGCCGGGGCTGCCGATGCATTTGAATTTGAAGGCCCTGCAGCCCGATGCTCCTGTGCCACTGCAGCTGGAGCTTCGTCCAGATGGAGCGGTGCTGATGTCACCAGGAGCTTTTATACTGCAGCTGCAGCCACGCGGCAGAAAACATTCTCAGGGAAAGCAACCCCAGACCAGTTCTTTCGTATTTGAATGTATTTGATATCATTGATCGTTCTCCCAAACACATGGCTTTGAAGCGAAGATGCTTGAACGGGGTAATAATAATCCTTTCCTGGGCTGGCTCAGTGCTTTGTCGTGGTTCACTCTGAACAGTGTCGTGCGTGTCAGCACGCTCTCCTCTTGTGACTTGATCCATGTCAAGCCCATGGAAAGCCTCCCTCCAGAGCTGATCACATTTTGGTCCACAGGTTTGACCTCCAATGGATCGTGCTGGGCTTCCGGTTGGAGCCACAGGCCCAAAACCCGTTGATATCTGCGGATCTGTGTCCAAAAAAGAGATGTTTCTGCCATGGATAGTGGGTAGCTGCCTAAACTGTGGCGACATTGCAGCAGGCATCCCACAGCTGTAATTGTGCACGACAGGGTCTTGGGTCTCTGAGTCTTCCGGATGAAGCAGCTGTGCGTCAGCAGCTTCAAGCTGTGGCTGATGCCGAAGAGAAGATCCTTGGAACCAACTGAATCAACTTTGAAAATTGGGCCGTGAAAAATTGGTTGGGCATGGTTGGGCGGGTTTAGCATTGGATCCATTGGATCTGTTCTTTCGTCCCCAAATCCGGCGGTTCTCAGGGGGGGATGGAACAGCATTGCACGCTACCATTGATGCTGGACCCACCAAAAACAAAGGAAGGAAGATTCAGATACCCCTGCCCGCGCCTCAGTGAGACCCGTAGAGAGGAACAAAATTGGACTTGCTGGACAAATTGGCAGTCAACTTCGTATAGCAGTGACAGTATTCAGATGTATTCAGCATAGTTGGTGGTACATGTAGCCAAGAGATGTTTTTCTGGATGGGTTTCACCAAACGAAGAAGATGAAAGGACTTGATACTTGTTTGTGATGTATCAAGAACCTGGTTGGGGATAATATACCCAGCGTAGCAAAGAAATGCAAAGCATCGAACCTATTTTCAGATTGGAGAAACCTTGTTTCGGGTGAATTTCTGGAGCTGGATCTGAATCTATTCAGGGGGATGCTGAAGTCTTGAAACGAGGCTGCCCTGACTGCAGCTGCCCATGCGTTTTGTCATCACCTGAGAACTTCTCCGGCGCAGCCCCGAAGCACCAAAGTTTCGAAGCCCCGACGCCGATCGACGCCGAGGTTCGCACCTGTGGCTGCGCGCCTCCATGGACGAAGCGAACCGTGGCGCAGAGGTGGCCTCTGCGTCCTGGGATCGAAGAGGATTTGTCACGATGCGAGTCTTTCCAGTGCCTTGAACCGAAAACATGACAAAGCATCGCACTGTGCCACCGCCACCTGGGAAGTTGCACAAAGAAGGCAAACTTTGAAGAAATTGGATGAACAATAAAAATGCCGGAGCTATCCGGAGCTTGCATTTGCAGAGATCCACTAATCCATCAGTGCTAAGGGCTGGGATTCCACGTGCGGTGGAATCTGCTTGCCCTTGCGTGATGACCAAACACCAGCTGGACCAGGCCATGTTTGAAGTGGATGGCCAGTTGTTTGAGTTGGGCAGGACCCAACCTGACCCTTGCCAACCCCATAGGACCAGCTTCGACGGGTTGCGTCCTAGAATTGCACAAGGCAGATGGCGGTATACGTCTGAAGCTTACAACGGTCTGGATGTCTTTTACCAATCGTCTGAGGAGCGTACTGTAAATAGAATTACTCCTTCTTTCCATATTGATATTGAACTCATGAAGCTGTGCAGAACCTTCTGTACATTTAAATCTGTTCATAGTCTGCCAATGTGCCAAAGGCCCTCAATTCGCAGGGAAGTTGCCACCCTTGCCGTGCCAACGTCCACAACGACTGGTCCAGCTTGGCGGGGTGGCGCCCTGCTTGGACGAGGTGCCTGATAACTTCAAACTGGTTGAAATGTGTGGCCAATTTCTCCTGAACCTTGGTAGTATAGTCACCTTCCAACATAGAGTGCCGTGGCCCTTCCTTTTAGCGCGAAGCATGCACATGGCAAGGCAAGTGTGTGACCAGTGACCACTCTATGTTTGATTTTATTACTATTCCGCATGCAAATCCTACTCTGGTTGTATTTTAGACATGCAAGGGGTATACTCCACAGATGGACATTGACATGTCTGACGTGTTTGATTGACGGGTATCCCAAGCACATCGAGAGCACAGCCGGCGCAGGTGTTACGTCAAGCCCATGAAGCTTTAGCAACCCTCACTCTGCGACGGCTTCGAGCTGGTTTGTTGGAGGTAGGGCAGGGAGCCGGGCTTGTTTCATCCGGTCATCTTTGGCCTTTGGCAGATATTCCAGAGATTTCCGGAGCCTTTGTCCCAGGTAGCCCCATTGAGCCGCGCAAAGCCTTTAGAGGAGTCGCAGGAGCACAGACCGTTCTAAACATGGCGACAATGGAAACATGATGTATATATATATATGTATATGTATATAATATATAATATATGTACAATTTCTGCTGTGAGTTTTTAAAAACATTTTTTTTTTGCTCATCCTGCAGTTGGAACTTCTGGCTGGAGGGCGACCGTGCCAAGCTAAGATGTTCGTTTCGCAGAGGCATTGCCTTTGATGACTTTCCCAGTTTGCCTTCCAAGTTGCACCAAGGCTGCGCTGTTTGCTTGGAGGTTGCCAGGCATGACAGAAACAAGAATCTTAGCGCTTATGTCTATGGTGGTACGGTGGCCCACCAGGTCTATGTGGACCTTGACTCCGTGGGGCGATTGGTGCTATCAACCTCAGAGTACTCTGAGCACCCGCCGCCCAAGGCAGGAACTGAACATGCCCTCTTGTGGAAGGGATTGGGGCCGCCCAGGCATACTCTTCCATGTTCCTAGTCACAGCATCTTTGCAACAATAATGTCAAGGACGAAGTGTCCACCTCTCCCTGTCTTTAAATGTGTGTTGCAAGGGGGTGATCCAAAGCGTTCCTTCGACATCACTCCCCGTTACAGGTGTCAGCCCAGATAAAGGTTCGGCACGTTTTCCGGTGCGAGGTTCCGGGCTCGTTCCCGGAGGTTACCGCGTTCCAGGTCCGTTTCCGTTCCAGAAATTGACACCCGAGATTCCGGTGTGGGTTCCAGTTTGGGTTCCGGACGTTTCGGTGTGGTGATTCTGAAGGATCTGAAGGTCTTGGTGTGTCATGGGTTCTGGTTGGCTGTGGAGATTTTGGTGCAGGTTTTTGATGGTTTTTGCCTGCTGTCACACTTTCCTATCACCTTTTCTGTTGGGGATACCAACTGGGCTTATCTGCGATTATTCTTGTATATTCTTGTGACTTTCTGAAGGTTGCCTGATTTTGAGATCGACTTCTTTGTACGTATCCATTTGCTGCTGTCAGGCCGCAGGTGGCCTGCTCCTCGAAATCAGATTTTGTGATGTGCTTTGTTTATCTTTGTTTTATGATGCCTCCCTCATCAAAGATTCCAATGACAGCTCAACATGAGGCCAAGAAGGATTCATTCTGCGACTTGAGGCGAGGCATTTTCATGTCTGTGCTTTGGAGTTAAGATGCCGACAGACATCCGTACGAAAGGCCGTACGCACTGCGTCATTGATAGCAGCGGCCGAAGGGGTGGTTGCTGCCATGGGCTGGCGTCGTGCAGTGCCTCCAGAGCCACCACCTGCAGCAGTTCGCCATGAACGCTTCAAGTGTCATTTTGGCAGCCTGCCAATTGCTATTGAGTTTGATCTTTGTGACATAGAGTCTTGGATGATTTGGATGCACACAGATCTTTTTGCTGTGTTCTGGCGGTTGTGAAAAACTCGCGGTTTTGACGTGTGTTTGCATTTTCCATCTTTTTTGCACGTTCCTTTCTTGGCTGTGAGCCACACCTTCTTTGGCTTTGCAACATAGTTATCCAGGAAGTGAAGAATCTGGGCTTGGTTCTCGAGGCACGAGCTCGGTCATGTTTGGGGTTAGGGTGTGGTCGACGTTCCGAACTGCTTGATGTTGTGCAGATGGATAGCTAGTGAATAGTGAACATAACAAGATGATTCACGGTAGCTCAGATGAGTTGTTCAACAGTTGCGATTTGATGTCAACCTTTGTCTTTGCCTTTGCTTGCAATCTATCCGCCTCTTCCTTGTGGGTGATTTTGCTAGACACTTCTTGCAGCTTTGGATGCAAATAAATAGAACGAAAACTGGATTACAAGAGCAAGAACCAGGGTGGTCCTGGCCAAACAGAAAATTGTAATTCAGTTGAGTTGGTTTAATCCAACCTGTACTGTAGGGGTTTATAATATAGGTAAACCAATAAATCTGTATAAAACTTGGATATAGATATATTTATATTATATTAGGAAAGCAGAATAAGAAGACAAGTTTCGAAACTTCTGTACACTATTCAGTGTGGTGTCCAAAAATTCTGTAAGAAAGATGATCCGATTTACATATGTTTCTAGAATTTTCAGAGGGTTTTTATAGGTTTTTATGCGTCAACAGCATAGGCCTGGAGTCAAATGGATGTCTGAAGGATGGCACCTCAATCCATGCACCGGGCATGGACGACTTCATTTTTGCCGATGGAGGACTGATGGAAAGAGCTCGCAACTGTGGCAGCTCCGCAGCATTTTTTTCATGTTTTTTTCGTCTGCAGGAGAACAGGCTTTCCAAAAATTGCAAAGGAACTTGAGGCAACATGGGTCAGATTCGGTCAGACGCCTTTGGATTTGTTGGATTTGTATGGATTTGTCGCAAGAGTGGAGCTTTCATGGGCTGTGCTCCTGCATGATATTCGTTGATGCTGGGCAATGCTTCCATGCCCCGTGCCAGGGAGCGGTTCTCCTTTGCCGAACGTTTGCTGAAAAGCGCGGAATTGAGCTGCGAGGCCAGCACAGAGCGAAAGAAACGTTGATGTCAAATATGTCAAGCTGGACCGCCTAGCTTCTGACTTTGAAGGTCTTGAACACCCTGGGGCAGCACGCAAAGAGGGTAGAGGACAGGGGTACCTGGTACCTCTGCATGTCATCACACAAGAGACAAGAATCGCAGGATGGCTGCATTCATATCCGGCTGGTGGCTGTTCATCTGCTTGAGTTGGATGCCAAGAATTGTCTCAGCCACAAATTTCGCAGAATGCAGACTAAATGACAGATATTTTGATTGAAGCACCATAACAACTATAATAATAGTAGTAGTAATGATATGTAACGAAATGATATAATCATAACAATAATCTATATCTGTATCCCAAGGCTACAGCTCGAGTTCAACGACTTGGCGGATGAGGTAGGCTTTGTTGGTAGCTGCATGATCAGACATCGATGGCAACTTGCAAAGCAAGCTACTGCACTTAAAACATTAAAATGAACATTTGCAGAACATATTGGGTGGGCAGGCCTCAGCTGAATTCGACCTGTCATCGCCGTTTCAGTCGCCAGTGGTCTTCAAGGCTGCCCATTTACATGTATTTTTGCCCCTGTTTGGTGCAACCCTCAATTTCAAATCCAACAGCTAGAGTATTTCTCTTCAAGCGCTGAAGTTCGGTGGCAAATCGTATGGCAGATCCACGAGCAGCTTCGAACCTGGTCACTATGTGGCAAGCTTCGGACTCTGGTGTCAGCCTCGGCACCCCAAGTTGCGCAGCTTGCGAAGGTAGCTTCCGTTTTGCCAAATGAGATCCACTCAGGAACCTGCCAACCCGTTCAAGCAAAGCCCTGACAGCATTGCTTCATTCACTTCATTTACTTGACTCCTCTGCAAACAGCGTTGGCTCAAGACGTGCACCGCTGGCGCGTGCAGAGCGCACTGGGTGCTAGGAGCCATGTCGGGCCGTGACTAAATTGCATATAGCTACGCATTTTGGTTAATTTTGCACAGCTGAACAGTAGTGTTCCTAGAATGGAGGAGCATTGTCAAATGCAATCATTTCCCAGAAAGTTTGGTTGATTTTTTTTTGCGAAGAGGTCAGACTGCGGTTTTGTTCAATAGTTCTGACACCACGACGATCAGTGCCTGAGGCAATACGCGTATGGCCCAATGGCTGGACTACAGAGTGCGTGTCACAATCTCTGATGCCCGGATGCTGGTGGGCCAACTTCTCAGCGACGGTGGAACTAGGTGTATTTTTGGAGCACCTTTCTTCTTGTCAAGCATGGTGAACGTGTACTGAACGTGGCTAAGGCACTTTCATGGCGCTACACGGCTGCATTTGCAGTTTGTGGCATTTTACGCTAAAACCTGTCATGAGGGGACCACGTTATTTTGGCATATCTCGGCTTTGAGTTCCCTTTCTCCTGTACACAACAGGCCCAAAGTTTGCCAGGTCAAGATCATCCCTCTTCTATTGTGGGCCAACAAAAGCCAAGGTTCGACAAGTACATGAATGTGGTCCTTGCAGACTGTGAAGAGTTCAGGAAGATCAAGTCTAAGGGCCGTAACTTGGTTGTTTGATTCATCACATGTGACTATGCAGTCAAGATATGTCAAGATATGTCAAGACGTGGTGAAGTGAAGTCTGCACATTTTCAGCGGCTTGCAGGGTCCATTTTGCATGTCGGGGATTTCCCAGGAAAAGCATCCAAGCCTAGACTATAACAGATTTTCTTGGATGTGGCTCGCTCCTGGAGTGCTGCTGGGACAGATTTCCTAAAAAACCTGAGGCAAAGATGAGGAGAAGGAAGTGAAGCGCACGCTTGGGTTTGCTACTCCACCTGCAAGGATGTTCATTTCTGTGCTTCCATAGTTTCAGCATGCTTCACCGCAATCCCAGCAGTCCTTTGGTCAAATCAGATCGCAGCACCCCAAACCCTGCTGTCAGTGCCAAGGTAGTGCTTCGAGGGGAAACCATCGTATCCCTCATGGCCGAGGTGGGACTGCAAAGCCAGCCCCATTGAATCCCTTTGATATTTTTAAAGATATCGAAATGGTCAAGATGGATAGCTTCATGGATAGCCCGATACTTTGATCTCAATGGTTTTTTCTTTTTCTTTCCAGATTGAATCCATATCACTGGACCCCTTGGCAGGCGCCGCCACCTACAGGGCCCAAGAAGCCAGACATCCAACCAGGTCCTGGCCGTGGTCAGGTTGCAGGCGCTGTCGCCATGGATCATGATGATCATGATGGTTCATCATGGGATCACTTTCCATGTCTTTTGATTTCAGTGAATTCATTTCCATAGTGATAAGTTTCCATTTTGACGATTTTGACGGTTGATTTTCCCTTTTGAATCCTTTTGATTCTGATGGATCAAATCCAGCGTTGGAGTTGCGTCAGCATGGCACAGGTCGCGGAATGCCTGCCGCTCCTTTGAGTTCAGCACCAGCTGGGCTGTCTGGTCCGGTCAGAGGAGTGGGTGGACCTGCAGCAATTCAAATGCAGCCGAAGGCGAGCGCAGAGGGAAACTGAAAGCAAAATGGCAAAGGAAAAGTACTGTTGGGCTTGGTAAAGGCAATCAAACATGTAGAAGTGCCATGTGTTTCTCACTGACATGAGCAACAGCCAATGTTCGTACAAAAGGAAATATGGGTCAACACTTCGAAGCCATTGCTCCATTTGGCCTGATTGCTGGAATTCTATTCGACAGCTTCCTACTATTTGAAGTTTAGCGTGCACAGCGTGCACACGTGATGTAAGACTGGCTTTCCCTGGTCATTTGATGTCATCTCTAATTTCAGTGTACCTCGAAAAGCCACACTTGGTGAACTTGGGAATGTTGCCAAACACTGCCTGGAAAGTGCAGGCTGGTGGTACCTTGGATGCAATTCTGAAGCCGAAAACCCGATTTTGAATCCCAAGCAAAGATAGAAAGATTTGAGCCACAGAGGAAGTTTGAGTTGCTTTGGGATCTGTGTAGCTGCTAAAAAAGGCCCCAGCTTCACCACATTTTCAACACATTTCAACATGTCGATCCCGCTGAGGGGCACTGCTAGCTGCACCACCTGGAATGCCTCCTGGCTTTCCTGCCCGGCCACCAGGAATGCCTGGCATGGTGCCACCAGGCCATGTCACAACTTTAGGTGAAAGGTGATGGAAGGGGTTGTTTGGTGATGTTTGGTGGAAGTCTGTTGATGTTTGTTCATGTTTGTTCACTGCACATGGCCCATCATGGCCCCTTTTGTGAGTCGATGCACTTTGTTTATCTTTGTTTTCAGTGGCATGAGGGCAACTCTTCCAGTGGCGGGGCCTGCAACATTCCCAGAAATTCCTCTAGTGACTCTGGTGACTAGTGGTTTCTGAAATCGAAATGATTGGCCGCACTCACCAGGCTCAACGCTAGTCTTGGGGCATCTTCATTTTGGATCATGAGATGCGGATGTACGAAAATAATGGATTATAAATTATATCATACAATATCAGTTATGATCAGTTATGTAAATGTCAAGAGAGTGGCTTTAAGGCATCGCAAGGAATCACATAAACTCTCGCAGACGCCTTTTTCATCGCTGCCTTTTGAATTTTGCTGCTGAAATCCTGATGGCGGATGGCGGTCGTGGCGGTCGTTCACCCTTGCAGTGCCTTGATCAAGACATCTGAGATCTGTGGGTGGCATCAGACTCCACGAAATGCACCATTTTTGGACTGGATGTGATGATGATTGTACAAGATGTATTATTGTAGATTATTGATGATTATTGTATGATGTTGTACCCTCTGATAAACATGGCAATCGAACAATCCACCATTTGTGGATGATGATTTTCCCATTATTTTCCCGTTAAGACGCCCATTCAGTTAGGATCTTCTGCGCCAAGTTGATCTCAGCTCCAGGTGCTTGGGCTGGGTGTGCGACCAGCTCTGCGGAATTTCTGCTGAGCGCCGCCGTGCTTCGAAGGTGACTTGGCACTATGATTTGTCCAGGACCTAAGTTAATTTATGTGAATGTGAATCAATGTGAATCAATGTGAATCAATGTCAATGAATCAATGAATCAATGCCTCATCACATGATGAATCTGCCAGAGTTTTCAGAGCTTTTTATCGCCACATGACGAGGTGCTGACCCGGGCACGAGACCAGTGTGTGCGATTGCGGGCGGGGGAGCTTTCACGATGCGCGGCCATTGTGCGAAAGCTTGCGCAGGCCAGGGCCGCCTTTGAGGTTCATTGGTGCGCCCATCCTGCAACCTTCAACTAGAAGAGTTGAGATTTTCATTCACCATAATGATCCCAGCCATCAAGAACTGGAACTGGGATAGATCAAAACCATTCAAAACCTCCAAATTTTGAGTCGTTGAGTTGAAGGACCGATTGGCATTCCATTTACGGTCGCTATTTTGTTGATGGGACCAGGATGGGAATGACGATGATATGCCACTGCAGCATCTCCGAGCTGCAGAGCAGCACCTGGCTGCTCTGGAGCGGTGGCTTCGAGGGGAAGGCCGTGGAAATTGTGGGCTACACGGGCAATTTCTTGCAATTATCTTGGTTATAGTATGTTATGGTTATATTGGTTATATAATGTTATATCATATTATATATGTTTTTACTCGTAGACACCTGGTGGAACTGTATCCAAGACCCAGCCCTGGATCCCAGGGAGGTTTCATCCCTGGAGGTGGCGAAAAAAGCGAGGCCCGCGCAGAGCGCATTGAACGTGAGCTGGGCCTAGTGGCTGGTGGTCTTGGTGGCCGTGAAGCTGGGGCCCGAGATGGCCCGGGTCAAAGTTCCCGAAAAAAACGATGCGAAGTTCAAATGGAACTGTGAGATATGGGTATGGATCAATACCTATAGATACAATTTTTAGTGGGATGAACATCCATTTACCAGCTATTTTGATGTTCACCAGGGCTACAAGGTTTTGACACACTGCCATATATCTGTGATATCTTGCGATATTTTGATATCTGTGTGATACTTTGGGATACTTTGGTGATATTTGGTGATACTTTGTGATATGCAACAACGAAATCAAAGCATTTAAGTATCATTTTGTATCCACGTGCTGCCAAGTATCTGATGGTTTCTCAAACTTTCTCAACCCCCAGTAACCCCAATAGTCACATGCTTTTGCACGCCGGACAAGCTACAGCAGCTACAGGCTGGCGAATTCGATCGGATCTTTTCCAACCACCTGGAAAAGGAAATCCTCATCCGGTCCTTTCCTGGATCTGTGAAAGTACGAAACTTTCGACATCCAGGTCTGGCATGGTCTGACATCACGCTGAGAGTTTTGCCATGTTTTGCCCAAATTCCATCAGCCACTGAACTTCGTTTTGAAGTTCTGCTCTATTTGATTCGATTTGTACCACCCTGAAACAATTGATGAGATTCGTGACCGGGGGAATACATCGCATCGCAGGTAAGGTTTTTATCACCAACAATCGCTTGTGCTTCTATTCCAACGTCCTTGGTGTCGAAGTCTCCTGCGCCTTCAAGTGGATACAAATTGCGAGTCTCCTGGCAAGGGAAAGATTTCCTTAAGCTGGTTCAAATTGAAAGCAGAAAACGTGCCACGTCATTGGCTGAAAATATGTAGAAATGGCATGAGCTGGCAAGTATCAAATTGGCAGTGTGAAAGAACTGCAAACGCAGCAAACTGCTTCACTTAAAGACACTTCTATGTTCGATTTTGAGGCTTGAGGCTTGAAGAGAATGCCGACACCCACACCTATCCTGTGCTGGTTACCTTCAAGGAAGCACTGGACTTTGATGGGAAGGCAAGACTTTTGAACTTGAACTTCTCAATTTTTCAATCCTGATTTCAACTCTCAATGCGCTCATGCAATGCAAGCGAGCTTCCCAGATGGACATTTCGTTGCTTCAGGATGTCAAGACGCTTGATATGCGGGTTTTCGAATTCTCTGACCTGGGACTGCTCCAAAAAAGCGCCACATATTTTGTCGCTTTCCTGCATCACTTTGCAATCTCTGCGATGCAGAATGATGCAGATCAACATGGCATTTGAAAATGGATGAACGTTTGGCAAAGCCTGTGATCGTAACTGATCGCCGCAGAGGTTGGTGCAGATCTCTTTGGCATCTACGAGGATGAAGTGTTGAGCCCTGAGGCCAAGACGTCGCAAAGCCCGGTGGAAAAGCCAAAGCCAGCCAGTCAAAAGCTGGTGCGCACTGCGTCCATGATTTCACCGGATGAAGTGCCTCTTTTTGCAAAGACAGCCGAAGAGACAGCCGAATAAGGTCCTGTTCTTGAAATATTGTAATTAGAAAACTATAAACCTATTTCATATTATATCATCATATATCATACTTACAATCACTTACAGTACACCTCTATATATAGACACTAGTATGAGGGCTGTAGTATGCTACAGTTACAGTCTCTTGTGTCCTTGGAGAAGTACCTAAGGTGCTGAAGGAGCTCTCCATGTGGGAACTTGAGCGGCGCACCAACCTTTTCAGGTACCACTGGAAGGCACCCTATTGGCCCCATGACGGTGCTGCCAAGATGAAGTGGGTCGCCTTGGAAGGCAACGAATATATCCGACATCCCTTCATTCCCGAGAGCGAGGAGGAAGGAAAGATTGCAGTGCCATGTCTAAAAGCGTTTCAACAGAATTTCAAGAGATACCTGCAATGTCCTTGCAACAGAATGAACATCCAACATATATCAACATATATTAACATATTACAGTCTAGGAAGCAAAGATGTCAAACATCAACATCATCAACTGTCCGTCAGTAACTCACCAGTAACTCTGTCGGCACCTGGGCAGCTCAGGTGAGCGACATCCCACCCGTTGAGGCTGTGGACTTCTTGGGAATGCGCCGAAAGTGCACCTGGAGCCACAGATGCACTGATGTTTTCACATTTGAAGCTCCAAATCTACTTGAGACATCTTGAGACATTCAAATATTGAGACAAGATATTCCAGTGAATATAATTCGTGATATTTTCAGTGCTGGGTGATGCTCTCTGATTTTGTTTGAATTCCTTACAGACGGAGCTGCGTACATCTAGCCTTGCCCCAGGAGTACCTGCCCTGTGGATGGTGAGACAGACGAACTCGGATGGCAGTACTCAACAGACTTCGTCGCTGAGAAGCAAACACGAAACCTGCTGCTTTTAGACTTGTTCTCTGTCAGCTAGATTGTGCAAACCGTGGCAACGCTTCAGCAGTGACAGGTTGTATTTTGTGAGTTATTGCTTCAGCAAAAACACACTAAAACTAAGGTGGTTGGCAACACTGGGTGGCTGCCCTACTGCGGTTCTGTCAGCTTTGTGCGGCGAAGGTGCTGGCAGCCATGCTTCTACACCGATGCCGATGATGAAGCAGGAGGTGAAGACAGAGCTCCGATCTCGCTCATACAAAACAAGGCCCCAGTTGGTAAAGATCGATGTGAAATCCACTGGAATGGCAGACATTGGTCGTCAGACATTGGTGGTTATGGCATGTTGTGGCATGTTATGGCATGTTGTGTCACTGACCATGCGATTGTGGTAGCTCAGCATGCTCTTGTGAGGCACCATCTACAGCCAAACAACCAATCTTCGAGCAAGTCCTAGGCGAGATCTCCCTGGAACTACTTGGGCAATCCTTGGAAAGCGACGACTGGAAAGATCCCAACTCTCTGATGGCCTTCTACTGGGAGGCTGGGCACCTGACCAACACTGGGCCCCAGGGCATGCGTGTTGGGTACTCGGGTACTCCTCGCCACAGGAAACTGGTGCCATGGATTTGGACATCAGCCCTTGGAGCGATGGCAGCAGCTTTGCCTCTGTGGTGAAGGGCAAGGCGCTGGAGGGATTGAACCAACTAACATAAACCACTCATAGACCCTGCCGAGGTTGGAAGGCTACTTTCCTCTTTGGATGAGTGATTCTCAGGGTCTATGTTAGCTACTACCCACCGTAGTACTGTTGGTTGGGATGGCATCTCAACTCTCGTAGTCATGTCACGTCTATTCCTGTCTACCTGCTGCTGGTCGCTTCTGAGCTGGCAGGTAAGAACCATCGAAATGCGTTCCCCTGTGCCGCCTGCGCCAATGTGCCCAAAGGAGGGAGTATTATGCCTTTGTCCCCAGGTGTTTCCAAAGATCAAAGGGGACAGATTGAGAATTGCAGAGGATATATTGAAGTCAGCGTCTCTATAAATGCAAGGAATTTCCGGAAAGTGAGAATTTGCTCCTCTCTTGACATGCTAGAGTGCAAGTGTTTAGTGTTGAAGAGGTGTTCACCACTTCTTTTTGGACCAGTTTTCGTCTCGTCGTGACAAAACAGACTGTCTTCTTCGACCTGACTCCCTCAATCGCCATGTTTCTGCATTTGCACTCCTGGACAACATAACCATTTCTCCCATTTAGAGAGAATCTCCTGGCTCATGAATGTCTCAAATGAATTCAAATGACCCCTTTTGTTCTCACCATCCTTGGACTTTGCAAAGCATTCACCCCATTGGTCTGGACCCAGGAGACAAGAGTGCTGAGTACATGGCATATTGTGGTTCTTCCAGACAAGGTGAACCGCTGCATGTCTTCTGCAGTTGTGAAACCAGACAACCGAAAGCAGTGAAACAGACAGGCCATTCGAAACACCAATTGGGAAATGCGTTCCATTTAGTCCTGAAAGCAGGTTCTCCTGGAGAGCGTGACAATGTCGCTGGATGTGCCCTGTGGCCGCTAAACTGCCACCAAGACTTTCTGATAGTTGACCGTTTGGTGAAGGTCTCTCTAAGAGAGTACAAGTCTGAGGAAGAGTTTCTTCATATTACGTACCATGTTTGCAGAATCCTTCCTGGCGTCTTGTTCAGACATCAACGAAGGAACTATGTTCAACGTGATCTCATGCGACAGCTTTACTATGCAAGATGGGAAGTTGAAGATGTCAAGGACCGACTGTCAGAGATCAGTACCAGAGCCTGCAGCCTTGTAGCCCCAGCCACCGTGAAGCATATTCAGGACGTGTGGCGTGGAGTGGTTGCAATCGACGTGGCTCAAAAGTTGCTTGCATTTGTATGGTTTGTTCAGCAAACATAGCAAACGCATGCAAACGCATGCAAACGCATCCTAGTTCCAAATTGTAATTTTCTGAAATCTCCCAGAAAGGATAGCCGCAGTCTAGAAATGATAGTTCTTGCCGATTCAAAAATCTCAAACCGAGGTATGGTTGAACAAAACGTGCCTCCACAGCTTAAAGCAGTGGGCGAGCGAATGGTGGGAGTGGTGACGCGATGGTGGGAGAAGGCTCGCAGAGAGAACGCGTATGGTTTACCCTCTGGTTATGACTAACATAGCCATGGTATAGATGGCCCATAGAAATAGATGGTTTACCTATTAGAAATGGTGATTTTCCATGGCTATGTTAGTCATAACCAGATGGTATTTCTATTTTGTAAACATTGACAGGTTTTGAGATATCACAAGGTACAAGCAGCTTAACAGTTAGCATTGTTGAAGCACAGTCTGGAGAACTTAGCCCCTTGTTGCTTCTTCATGGCCATTGTGGACAGGCACGATCGAAACAGAAAGACGCAACGCCTACTAGTACCTGAGATGTGCTACTTGTTTTTCACCAGTGAAGCATAGGAGCCACGAGTCTCATGAAGATAAAGTGTACAGACAATTTGCTGCAAGTTTCACAGGGGATCATCAGTCAGCCCAGGTCAGCTTGATGCAGACACCAACAGACTTCATGAAAAGTGTTTCACATGTTTCGCTGTTCGGGGCTGATTCATGGACTCCAACTCTAGCGAGAATTGCTTTAGAAAAGAAGTTGGCGGCTGTGCGGCTTTGCCCAGTAGCAGCGAGCCTTGGACGTCCAATGATGACTGTTGGGTCATTGTCTGAAAATCGGGTACCCCCCACATTTAATTGTTGATTGATGTTGATTGATGTTGATTAGTTGATGATAGTTTTCCCCATTGAAACTGCACAATTTGGGGTATACCATGCCATACCATGCTATACCGTATTATACCGTGTACCCCATCAGACCTATTGTGACATCGCAGGCATGCCAGGAATGCCTCCAGGGATGCCCCCTCCAGGCATGCCAGGCTCGGGTCAGGATGTCTCTTGTCTTCACATCCTCAAGCTGCATCACAGATATCACAGATGTTACAGATATTACAGTGAAATACGGCGTGGAATACGGTGATGTAATTTGATGTTTGCATAGCTGCTAGGCATGGGACGTGGAATGCCTGGCATGGGCCGCGGTGCTTGAGCTGGAAGCACTGAAAGTGCTCATGGAGTTGGTGGATGCTGGCCTGAGCTTCAAACAAGTTGTGACTAGCCGTGACTAGCCCAACGTTGTAACAACACTTGTTTGATCTCATTTGGATCTAGTGCTTGGTGCGGTCTGTGAACACCTGGGGTTGTTTCGGGCCTCATCTGGTGGCGTGGTTAAGAGTACCACAGGTCAGGGAAAATTTGGCCTGACGATGGCCAAAATGATGTCAGCCAATGTCAGCAGCTGCGGACAGGCTAGATTGATATTGAACGGTCCAAGCTGATGTGTTGCAGGCTTTTCATTCCTGGCCGTGCAGCTTCTGGCGTTTTGATCAGCTGAGTATCAGCAATGTGGATATTGTCTGCATCCATTGCGACTCAAAAAGATTCGATGTCGCAAGCTGGATGTTCTTTGACACCACCATATTTGTAGACTGTGGATGACTGGGGTACAAAGTTATGGAATCATTCCCCTTGAGGTTCCAATCACAGAGTCGCGGGAGGCTGGACCTACTTTCACAGAGGTTTCACTGATAACGCCACTGATGTCTTTTTTGTGCATCAACCACAGGCCCCTGAGCCCCTGCCATGTGGTGGTAGATTGCAAACAGAGGCTGGGGCTGTGCCAGTGTCCTCATCATCCAAAAGACCAAGAGAATTGATGTCATGATGTCCTTATTGTTGCCATGCCGCTGCATGCCTTTTACGCCTTTCTGACTGGTCCAAGTGAATAGAAGCAAATGTCAAGCAGTGAAACCACTCTAAACAGCCCTCAATATAGATGCATGATTAAATAATGTTGGTCACAGAACTATTCTCCAGACTCTGTGATTGTATATTTTTGTAGTGGAAAAGGAATCCAATGTGACCACTGGAAAGGAGGCACAGGCAGAAACAGACAGGGTCATGGTGAGAGCCTCCTGTCGGACTGCTGTCGGTTGGATGGCCAAGAACTGAGGCCAGTGCCGTTGGATTATGCAAACCCGTGCGATTTGGGTATGGGCATGGGTGAAATTTAAGACCCAGGAGGGTAAATTTTGGTCATTTTATTTTCATCTCCATTTTTGCATCTAACGTATCAGGCCACATTTTTGGTACCCAATTGTGACCAGTAGCTGTTTGAGAGAAAAAGAAGCAGGGCAGCCCGAATGCACCCAAGACTTGAGACAAAGTCTTGGGGTTGCTCGAGATGACACGTGCCCACATATGAGTCACGGTCAAAATGGTCGAAGACCACTTTATTGCAGGAGTTTTTTTGTCAGAGATGTGCACAAAACACTGTAAAGCGATAGGGCCCCCCCAAAAGCGATAACCTGGGACCATACACGACAGTCCATGAAACTTGGCGTAAACCAAGCAAATACTGTTGTGCACATTCACAGAACGGGCAAAACCGATGATGGAATTTCAACTTGTGCCCTGTTTCCTGCAGTTACCATATCATTTGGCATCCAACTCTCTCTCTCTCTCTTTCTCTCTCTCTCTCTCGCTTGCTTTTTTCGTTTTTTTTTTTCTCTCTCTCTCTCTATCTCTCTCTGTCTGTCGTTTTTGTGGCAAATTTCCTTACAACAATGTCATGTGTTGGAGGGGTTATTTAGCGATAACCTTAGCGACAACTTAGCGATAACCATTTGTTGCTCTCGTCCCCTGGCCAAGCCATAGAACCATTTCCTATATATATACATATTCTACATTACTATATATTTGAAAACATTTGATATTTATATATGTATATAATTATATATATACACACATATTTACACATATGATACCTCCTCCAAAACCCCTCAGTATCACTCCCTTCATTCAATGTACCTTTCCCGCCAACATCATGTCCCTGTGAGCAGGAAGCCGAGCCTCACAACTCCAAATGCACACATCAAGGTCGACCAGGCAGGTCGCAGCAAGAGTTACAGATCGATACGGATGAATAATGATGAATACTGTATCATATATATATATATAGAGTATATGTAATGTATAGATCAACATTAAACATTTCTTGACTTCTTGAATATTTTGTACTATTTGTTGATTGTTAACTTGATACTGGATGAAACCATTTCCTACGAGTGATAAACTGAATCGAGAGGGATGGACGATTCCAATGCCAGCGTGGAGATGTGCTGCCAAACTCAGACTTTTGCTGATCATGTTGCCTGATGGCACCTTTGAACAAGCTTAGATTCCAAACTGGGCGAGCGTTGTGACCCTGCGCTATGGTCCACCCCTCCGCATGTAGCTGCAGCTGTGGCTGGTACCAACCAGATGTTGACTTAGCGCCAGCGGATGCTTGGTGGAAGGAAGCGATTCGGCACGAGACAGAGAACCGGTGGTATGTTCGTCAACTGCCAGGTGCCTGGGCTGCAACCTTTGGCGGTTCACAAGTCGATGCCCTGATCAAACACCAGGTGGAGGTGCCCTCCGACCGTTCCTTCCGGCCCTATGGTCGCCGGGTGCTGGCGGAGCCGCGAGAGAGTGAGGAGTTCAAAAAAGCGATGATCTGGGTAGATGAGGAAGTTCCGGAAGGACGAGGCCTACAAGACCTTGGAGTTCCTCGAGGAGTTGCTGAAGGACCTGGACAGCTGGTTAAGCCGACACAGACAGATGAGCGGCAACTTCCACAGTCCCCGCCATGGCGAGAGCCGGCTCCAGAGGCACAAGCCACAGAGCCTGTGGCCGTGACCCTGGCCACACAACCCATGGAGCCCTGTTTGGCATCGACAGGTGATGCAACTCTTAGAACTGAGGCTCTACGGGCGGTTCCCTCTGAGGTCACTTGCTCCAAGTGTGGTGCCATGGTTCCAGCTGACGCCAACTTCTGTCCGAATTGTGGTGCATCTATGACAAAGCAACCAGTGCAGGTTGCGGTGGAAGCCAAGTCCAAACCAAGCAAACCAAGCAAACCAAGTGCCAAAGCCAGATCCAAAAGTCCGGCCCGGGCCCACAAGCCACGGCTTGGCCACTGGAGCCTTCTCCGTCAACAGGATTTGAAAGCTCCAGGGCCGCCTCCGGAGCCCAGAGAGACGCAAAGTTTCAAGCCACCCCGTCGAGTGACAGGTGCCAAGCCCAAGCCCCGCCTCGCCCCAAAGCAGTGCATTTCCAAAGGCCATACCTACTTGGTATCGTGCCCACGCACTTGGTGGCCCGGCATGCCTGCTGTGGAGAGGGTAGAATGATGGCCAATTACTTTGCCCTGCCCTACCAGGCCCCTGATGCTACAAAGACATCCAGAGGGTTTGCTGCCTTTGGTGATGGGCTGAATTTGTGCAAAATCTCGCAGTGCCGTGAGCACTAGGCTAATGTTCAATAGAAAAGGTGAGCGAAGCGGGATAACTCTGTATGAGTTCGACACTCATGTCCCATATTCCTTCATGCTGCATCATGCCGCAAGAGTTTTTCCCATGTTCTATGAAGTTCTATGAATCCAATTTATGTGCACTGCTGGGAGGCGAGCGTGGATGATGAATCGCGTGGTTTTCCGAAAGCCTTCCCAGGCAGTGAAGCTTTTCCCTCAAGCTGCACAATGTTATCAAAGTTATCACAGTGTCATATCATGATTTCGATTGGTTCTTTGGCAACTGCAATTGGGTGCATTGGTTCAGATTAGCCTGACCATTGAATTGGGTTCGACTTTAGCCAAGTACATCCACGGGCATGCAACAAGAAAGTTTTTCGGTGGGAGACCAGCCATAGTTGACGTGGACTTGCCGAGCTGGCAGCAGCCTGTTCCATTCTTATCCATTCTTTATCCGTTCTTTATTGTTGGGAAGGGTCAATGCCCCACAAATCAGTTTCAATGATTCAATCATCTCAAACACAATGCTGTGCTCACAGGTGAAGAGCTAGTGCAACAGCTGAACGGAGACGATCAAAAAGGGTGAGAGCTGGTGTGACCTGATGATGCTCCGAAATGTTGCTGATGCCTAGCACCCATTTTTCCATGAGTCTATGCTGGCAACCGTCCAGAAATCGTCAAAGAATTTGGTGCTGGAAGGTCTTCCCAAATGGCCAGCAAGAGGTGCAGATTCACTTCGACCAGGCATCTTTGAAGAGCCATTTGCCCAGCGTTTTCGCACAGCATGTGCATGTGTGCATCAGTTGAAGATTCACAATGTTGATCAATGATGATCATTGTGGTTTTTGATGGTTTTTTGTATGGTTTTGTATGTAGTGATTCGCATCTGCGGGTGGAGACTTCAGGATGCTGGACTTGGCCCATGCCCAGAATGTTTGGCTCGGAGGGTCATCCTCAGGGTTGTAAATAGCTTAAATGCGGCTATCCACGTGATAGCGCTCGCGATACCTGGCTGCCTGGCTCGTGAGTTCCACTCTGAGCCATGTCAGAACCCGCGCCAAAGCGCAGACGCTTGAGGCCTGCAGTGGCTCCTCAGCTTGAAGTTGATCTGCCTGATGATCGACTGATTGAAACCCCCAAGCATACCCTGACATCACCCTGACATCACCCTGACATTCCCATAATTTCACAGATGTGTCACATGATGTGTCAGCTGTTCGATGTGAGCTGTTTTGCACAGCTGACACTCGAAACCAGCTTCAATTTCTCTAGTCACTTCGCAAATCATGATATCATGGATTATCATTGTATATCAACGAGATATCATGACATCATGATTTGCTCGACCCAGGCCGAACCTGATGTTGAGATGGAGGCACGTTGTTATTGGGTTTCCACTTTTACGCCCCACAACTGTGGTTCCTTTTATTTCATGACAGCTCCCCAATCATCGGAAGTTTGTACATGACACAAGATCACCGGCGCTGTTCTAGAGCAACTTTGTAACATGAAACAAGCAGAGGACATGTGCCATCTACCGATGCAGTTGAAGGACATAGACGCAGTGATGTTGTTCTTGTTGGAAGTGGAACCCTTTGAGAAAAAGACGAAGAAGTGCCATGTACTCCATGACAATTTGATGACATGTTACGATATTGGATGACAGTGCGGGCAGGGACTATCCGCTTGTGATTGTTTTTTGCGGTTGAAATTTTAAATCCATGTAGATTGCATGTCTCGATACGGACGTGAGGAAGAAACAACCAAGGAACCTATTGGTGAGTCTGCTTCAGCCCCTCCTGTTTCGGCCCCTCCTGTGTCGGCCCCCACAGCCGGGGAGGATAGCTGGGGAGGATGCGTTTCGATTCCATCTCAGTCATGTTGCCCAAAACAGTGGTATCCGGTTGCGCGAGCCGTGTCGGACAGAGAGACAGACTCAATGCATCCTAGGACCTAGGACATCCTAAGAACATTGAGTGAATTTCATCAATATAGATGAATCATGATGAATCATGAATCTATATAGTAATGCTTTAGTGAATTTCGTGAAGTTAGTGTATCACTATCACCGTTTGTCACTTTGCCAGCCCTGTTGGCAGTGGAGGACAGTGACTCCTCCGACAGCGACTCCGAGAGCGACACCTCCAGCAGCTCCGCGTCGTCGGTGTCGGAGTCCTCTTCGGAGGAGGAGATGGATCCGGTGCCTCGGCCATGGTGATTTTTTCTGGGGAAAATCGGTTACCCGGCCTGGTTATGACTAACAGTTCGCCATGGTTAAGCCATGGCCCATAGAAAAAAAGATGGTTTACCTGGGTTTACCTATTAATAGCATGGTGATTTTCCATGGTTATGTTAAATTTAAGGGCTAACGCCCCCTGCCGCCGACCCCAGAGAAGAGGAGCTTGGACCTGGAAGGTCATGGCAGCTATTCATTCCAGTGATGGCAGCAAGGAGAAGCTTTCTTACGTTGGTTTTTGCCTCAGTCCGGGGTACAAATTTATAGATATATTAGAATGACAATGTATGCCAATGTATTTTATGATTTTATTTCTATGAAGGACAGAAACGGCGCCTAGCAAGCAGGCTCCAGTGCGTAACGTTGCCTTCTGAACCGACAAGAAACCAGTTCCAAAGTGCAGCTCCCATGCCCTCAAAACAGCCCCACAGCGAAGTTCTAGCGGGCGATTCCGAAACAGCAAAACACCATGGCACTGAAGGACAGAAGCGGCGCCTAGCAAGCAGGCTCCAGTGCCTAACTTCTGAACCGACAAGAAACCAGCTCCAAAGTGCAGCTCCCGTGCCCTCAAAACAGTTTCACAGCGAAGTTCTAGCGAACGATTCCGAAGCAGCAAAACACCATGACACTGAAGGACGGAAGCGGCGCCTAGCAAGCAGGCTCCACTGCCTAACGTTGCCTTCAAACCGACAAGAAACCAGCTCCAAAGTGCAGCTCCCATGCCTTCAAAACAGCTCCACAGCGAAGTTCCAGCGGGCGATTCCGAAACAGCAAAACACCATGGCACTGAAGGACAGAAGCGGCGCCTAGCAAGCAGGCTCCACGGCCTAACGTTGCCTTCTGAACCGACAAGAAACCAGCTCCAAAGTGCAGCTCCCATGCCCTCAAAACAGCTCCACAGCGAAGTTTGAGCGGGCGATTCCGAAACAGCAAAACACCATGGCACTGAAGGACGGAAGCGGCGCCTAGCAAGCAGGCTCCAGTGCCTAACGTTGCCTTCTGAACCGACAAGAAACCAGCTCCAAAGTGCAGCTCCCATGCCCTCAAAACAGCTCCACTACGAAGTTCTAGCGGGCGATTCCGAAACAGCAAAACACTATGGCACTGAAGGACGGAAGCGGCGCCTAGCAAGCAGGCTCCAGTGCCTAACGTTGGAAGCGGCGCCTAGCAAGCAAGCTCCACTGCTTAACGTTGCCTTCTGAACCGACAAGAAACCAGCTCCAAAGTGCAGCTCCCATGCCCTCAAAACAGATCCACAGCGAAGTTCCATTCCGAAACAGCAAAACACTATGGCACTGAAGGACGGAAGCGGCGCCTAGCAAGCAGGCTCCACTGCCTAACGTTGCCTTTTGAACCGACAGGAAACCAGCTCCAAAGTGCAGCTCGTATTCCAAAACAGCAAAACACCATGGCACTGAAGGACGGAAGCGGCGCCTAGCAAGCAGGCTCCAGTGCCTAACGTTGCCTTCTGAACCGACAAGAAACCAGCTCCAAAGTGCAGCTCCCATGCCCTCAAAACAGCTCCACAGCGAAGTTTGAGCGGGCGATTCCGAAACAGCAAAACACCATGGCACTGAAGGACGGAAGCGGCGCCTAGCAAGCAGGCTCCAGTGCCTAACGTTGCCTTCTGAACCGACAAGAAACCAGCTCCAAACTGCAGCGCCCATGCCTTCAAAACAGCTCCACAGCGAAGTTCTAGCAAGCGATTCCGAAACAGCAAAACACCATGGCACTGAAGGACGGAAGCGGCGCCTAGCAAGCAGGCTCCAGTGCCTAACGTTGCCTTCTGAACCGACAAGAAACCAGCTCCAAACTGCAGCTCCCATGCCTTCAAAACAGCTCCACAGCGAAATTCTAGCGGGCGATTCCGAAACAGCAAAACACCATGGCACTGAAGGACGGAAGCGGCGCCTAGCAAGCAGGCTCCAGTGCCTAACATTGCCTTCTGAACCGACAAGAAACCAGCTCCAAACTGCAGCTCCCATGCCCTCAAAACAGCTCCACTACGAAGTTCTAGCGGGCGATTCCGAAACAGCAAAGCACCATGGCACTGAAGGACGGAAGCGGCGCCTAGCAAGCAGGCTCCAGTGCCTAACGTTGCCTTCTGAACCGACAAGAAACCAGCTCCAAACTGCAGCTCCCATGCCCTCAAAACAGTTCCACAGCGGCCTCCCAGCGGGCGGTTGCGAAACAGCAAAACACCATGGCACTGAAGGACGGAAGCGGCGCCTAGCAAGCAGGCTCCAGTGCCTAACGTTGCCTTCTGAGCCGACAAGAAACCAGCTCCAAAGTGCAGCTCCCATTCCGAAACAGCAAAACACCATGGCACTGAAGCACGGAAGCGGCGCCTAACAAGCAGGCTCCAGTGCCTAACGTTGCCTTCTGAGCCGACAAGAAACCCTGTCTGTCTGTCTGTCTGTCTGCCTGTGTCTGTCTGTCTGTCTGTCTGTCTGTCGACAGCCCCACAGCGAAGTTCTAGCGGGCGATTCCGAAAGAGCAAAACACCATGGTACTGAAGGACGGAAGCGGCGCCTAGCAAGCAAGCTCCACTGCTTAACGTTGCCTTCTGAACCGACAAGAAACCAGCTCCAAAGTGCAGCTCCCATGCCCCCAAAACAGCTCCACAGCGAAGTTCTAGCAAGCGATTCCGAAACAGCAAACCACCATGGCACTGAAGGACGGAAGCGGCGCCTAGCAAGCAGGCTCCAGTGCCTAACGTTGCCTTCTGAACCGACAAGAAACCAGCTCCAAAGTGCAGCTCCCATGCCCTCAAAACAGCTCCACAGCGACCTCCCAGCGGGCGATTCCGAAACAGCAAAACACCATGGCACTGAAGGACGGAAGCGGCGCCTAGCAAGCAGGCTCCAGTGTCTAACGTTGCCTTCTGAACCGACAAGAAACCAGCTCCAAAGTGCAGCTCCCATGCCCTCAAAACAGCTCCACAGCGAAGTTCTAGCGGGCGATTCCGAAACAGCAGCGAAGTTCTAGCGGTCGATTCCGAAACAGCAAAACACCATGGCACTGAAGGACGGAAGCGGCGCCTAGCAAGCAGGCTCCAGTGCCTAACGTTGCCTTCTGAACCGACAAGAAACCAGCTCCAAAGTGCAGCTCCCATGCCCTCAAAACAGCTCCGCAGCGACCTCCCAGAGGGCGATTCCGAAACAGCAAAACACCATGGCACTGAAGGACGGAAGCGGCGCCTAGCAAGCAGGCTCCAGTGCCTAACGTTGACTTCTGAACCGACAAGAAACCAGCTCCAAAGTGCAGCGCCCATGCCCTCAAAACAGCTCCACAGCGAAGTTCTAGCAAGCGATTCCGAAACAGCAAAACACTATGGCACGGAAGGACGGAAGCGGCGCCTAGCAAGCAGGCTCCAGTGCCTAACATTGCCTTCTGAACCGACAAGAAACCAGCTCCAAAGTGCAGCTCCCATGCCCTCAAAACAGCTCCACAGCGACCTTCTAGCGGGCGATTCCGAAACAGCAAAACACCATGGCACTGAAGGACGGAAGCGGCGCCTAGCAAGCAGGCTCCAGTGCCTAACGTTGCCTTCTGAACCGACAAGAAACCAGCTCCAAACTGCAGCTCCCATGCCCTCAAAACAGCTCCACAGCGAAGTTCTAGCGGGCGATTCCGAAACAGCAGCGAAGTTCTAGCGGTCGATTCCGAAACAGCAAAACACCATGGCACTGAAGGACGGAAGCGGCGCCTAGCAAGCAGGCTCCAGTGCCTAACGTTGCCTTCTGAACCGACAAGAAACCAGCTCCAAACTGCAGCTCCCATGCCCTCAAAACAGCTCCACTACGAAGTTCTAGCGGGCGATTCCGAAACAGCAAAACACCATGGCACTGAAGGACGGAAGCGGCGCCTAGCAAGCAGGCTCCAGTGCCTAACGTTGCCTTCTGAACCGACAAGAAACTAGCTCCAAAGTGCAGCTCCCATGCCCTCAAAACAGCTCCACTACGAAGTTCTAGCGGGCGATTCCGAAACAGCAAAACCGACAAGAAACAGCTGCAGCTCCCATGCCCTCAAAACAGCTCCACTACGAAGTTCTAGCGGGCGATTCCGAAACAGCAAAACACCATGGCACTGAAGGACGGAAGCGGCGCCTAGCAAGCAGGCTCCAGTGCCTAACGTTGCCTTCTGAGCCGACAAGAAACCAGCTCCAAAGTGCAGCTCCCATTCCGAAACAGCAAAACACCATGGCACTGAAGCACGGAAGCGGCGCCTAACAAGCAGGCTCCAGTGCCTAACGTTGCCTTCTGAGCCAACAAGAAACCCTGTCTGTCTGTCTGTCTGCCTGTGTCTGTCTGTCTGTGTCTCAATGTCTGTCTGTCTGTCTGTCTGCCTGCCTGTCTGTCTGTCTGTCTGTCTGTCTGTCGACAGCCCCACAGCGAAGTTCTAGCGGGCGATTCCGAAAGAGCAAAACACCATGGTACTGAAGGACGGAAGCGGCGCCTAGCAAGCAAGCTCCACTGCTTAACGTTGTCTTCTGAACCGACAAGAAACCAGCTCCAAAGTGCAGCTCCCATGCCCCCAAAACAGCTCCACAGCGAAGTTCTAGCAAGCGATTCCGAAACAGCAAACCACCATGGCACTGAAGGACGGAAGTAGCGCCTAGCAAGCAGGCTCCAGTGCCTAACGTTGCTTTCTGAACCGACAAGAAACCAGCTCCAAAGTGCAGCTCCCATGCCCTCAAAACAGCTCCACAGCGACCTTCCAGCGGGCGATTCCGAAACAGCAAAACACCATGGCACTGAAGGACGGAAGCGGCGCCTAGCAAGCAGGCTCCAGTGTCTAACGTTGCCTTCTGAACCGACAAGAAACCAGCTCCAAACTGCAGCTCCCATGCCCTCAAAACAGCTCCACAGCGAAGTTCTAGCGGGCGATTCCGAAACAGCAGCGAAGTTCTAGCGGGCGATTCCGAAACAGCAAAACACCATGGCACTGAAGGACGGAAGCGG